TTGGTATGTACAAAATGTTAACAGCAGTATCTGGTATGTATGTAAATTGTCAATGGTGATTGTCACCTTGTAATAGTGTATAATTCAATTGTTTCACACCTACAGAAATTGTTTCCGGAAATATAGGGAGAAAAGGTCTCAATAGATTCCTATTGATGGAACTGTTGAGAGTAAAAAAACTTTCCTACAAAGGACTGAATAGACCTGGAAATACACCTGACATTTACTAAGGTTTCTTTGACATAATACTGGAAATTTTTTATGCATTCTGTCCTGAATCCACGAAGTTTTTGTTTTGTTTTGTTTTGTTTTGAGTAACCAGGATCTGCAGAAAGGTTGTAATTTTTTTCCAGCAAAGCTAACTTGTCACATTTTCTCTCCCCTTGATACCAACACAGCATACAAATAGTGGTAGTAATTTTTGCTACTTATTTCAGAGTCTGTTTTTGCATAACTTCCATAGGGATTTTGTCTGTTTTAACAAAAAATTGGATGTGAGTTTGATTGTGTGGCTTTGTGTGGAGTTCTTCCAGAAAGTTGAAAAAGAGCTGAACCAAGAAGAGGAGAACCTGTTTGCCTTGTTTGTAGGGTTCCAGAGACCTCCAAAGAAGGTGAGGAAGCTTGCCTCCATTGGCAGGACTGGACAACCCGGCCAACGAAAATGCCCTGGTACCCTCGAGAAGAGGAAAGCCCAGGTGGAGTCTGATGAGACCAACTTTATACCTGAAGCATACATCGACTGGATGCCACCGGTTCGCTCTGATCCTGTATGGAATATTTCAACAAAGCCAGCTAAAAATTGCTGTTAGTTATTTCTACCCTGTGATTTTATGCAAAAATAGGAAAAATGGTTTAAAAGTAGATTTAGTTTGCAAACTTTTGCTTTGCTGTTAAAAGTTTGGGATCAAGGTTGAGAAAATTTGTGTTTTTACATCAGTTGAACCATTTTAAGATTTTTTTCCTGAAATTTTTACATATCTGCTGTCTTGTTTTGGCTAACGCCTCCAGATTTTTTTTTTGGCTTAAACTGATGAACTATTTTTCCTGGAGTGGAGGACTTTTGCTTTCCACAATGGACAAATACCTGGAGAGACTGGTTTTCTTTCACACTGGAACCTGAAAAAAATGTTCATCTAAGACTGCATCCCAACCTCCATATATTCGATCTTCATCACCATGGAAATGGTGGCAAAAAGTGAAAGGGGGGAATTGTTAGGGGGAAAAGGCTGTCCCAAAGCAAATTCCATACAGGCTTTGTGGACTCCACCCTCACCCCAGGTCAAAGCCAAAGACACTGGGAACTCCAAATCCCATCACCACCAAAGGGAAGGTGGCTGGGACCTGAGGGTGGGGTTAAGCAGCCAGGTGGATACAAAAGGCAGACACGTGGGCTTTGGGGGGCTCTCCATTTTTTGGGCTCTCGGCCAGCTCGCAGCGTCCGGCCAGCTCTGAGAGTGACTTTGGGTTTCCAGGTCGTCGGATCGGGTAGGACGCATTAAAGACTTTATTTCCCTATTTTCTCCCTGAGTTGTACATTTTCCTTATTTCTTTTTCTCTTGTAAATAAACCTTTTATTAACCCTTTTGTGTGTGTCTGTAGTAGAGTATTCATAAGTCCCTTTAAAGCGCGCGGGTGAGGACCCACAGCCAGGAACCCGTTTAATATCGGGGTTGCTCTATAACAAGGAGACTAGGAAACTGATTAGACAGCCCCAACAATATTGCACACAGAAGAGGGAAAGGTAAGTTTCAATCCATTTCCCTTCTATACTGTTTTGGTCCACCATCAGTTAACCCTTTTAAAAACAACTTTTAAAGACATTTTCGAATGAGGTACTTGTGAAAACTTACTGTGGGTAATGGAAATAGACCACCCAAGAATACAACTGTAGGAGACCAGAATATGCCATCCCAAAATAAGCGTTTTTGGCATAAGGATTATTTTGAGTTGATTATTTTGAGAAATAACAGACAAAGGATAAAAAGCAGAGTAGAAGTTACCCTTTTATAAGGGAAATGCACATTATAAAGAAAATTTATACTTGTAAGGTTATCTCCCTCTCTGTAGCAGAAAGTAAAGGATGACTAAATCACCAAAATCAAACAGACAAAAAAACCCTCTTGTTATTGGAAAAGTCACCAACTTAAACCTGAACAACAAAACTTACCTTGTAGAAATGCAAGCCAAAATCACAAAAAGATGTGACCTCACACCTGTGAGACAAGGACTGGAAACAAGAGCTGGCAAAGACTGTTGACAAAAGAATACTAGTCCACTATTGGTGGGAATGTAAATTGGTGCAGCTTCTATTGAGAAAAGTGGTATTAAGATTCCTTAAAAAAAAAAAAAATCAAAACCTAATTTTATGATCCAGCTTCTAGGTATTTATCCAAAGAATAAGAAAACACTAAATCAAAAAGATATGACCCCCTGTGTTGTCAGCAACATTATTCACAATAATCAAGATATGGGAACAACCTTAATGCCCATTGACAGATGACTGGATAAAGAACTTGATGTTTTTCTTCCCTTACACTTCTAAGACTAGGCATAATTTAAGAAATAAGAGACATAGACTCTCCCATTCATGCCCTCCACCATCTCTTTTGCACCTTACTCATGACAGCAAGCCAGGAATTTAACTACCTGAATGAAGACAAATGGAAACTTCATTTCAGGGATCAGGCAAAAGCCCAGTCTTGGGAATTTGGGCATTGGGTATAAACATGTGTCAGCTGAGAACAATGATTCTTTATTTGGAAGGGATATCAAAACCACTGTGAAGCTTATTAAACATATGATTGATTAACCAATATTGATACGTTATTAACTAAAAGTCCACAGTTTACATTAGGATTCATCCTTTGGGTGGTACACTTCTATAGATTTTTGACAAATGCATAATGCCATTGTAGAAGAGCAAAATGTTTTACTTGACTGTTTAGGGTCCTGGTTGGATCTGAAGATTAAATTAACAAAGACAGATTAACAGGAGAAAACACACAGCTTTTCTTAAGTTTTTGCATGTACACAAGAACCTTCACAAAAAAATGAAGACACAAAGAAATAACCCAAGCAGAAAGCTTTTAGACAAAGAAATCATGAGCTTCTGAAGAACTGACAAGGGGTAGTAAATGGTAAAGAAGTAATAAGGTTTGCTTATACAGATTTCTTGGCCCTAAATTCCCCATCCCTGGTGTAAAGATGTGTCCTTCCTCCTGGTACAAGGAAGGTAACTTTCAGGCTGGAAATTTATTTCCTGCTTTCAGGAAAGAAAGGTGAGTTGGGGGAGGTCAGAGTGATCTTGCTTCTATCATTTTCTCAAACTCCTTCAGCATAAGATATCAAATAAGTCAAGGTGAGTACTTTGGGCTAGTGTTCTGGACCTTATCATGGTGTCTCAGCAATTACAATATCATGTGCAACAATATTCTATTTCAATAACCATTTATTTCCAGCCTTTATGAGGAAAAGAAGAAGCTTTTCCAATTAAGAAGCATCTTAATTGCCACCACCCTAAAAAAATTTTTATGTTAAGGAGACATATGATATTGAGACAGGGCAAGCTAGGGTTATTAGGCAGTTTTAGGGACAGTTCAGGAGGGGACCTCTGAAGAATTTAGGGAGGCTTCAGAGATAAGGACAACCAAGGAAATGTAACCAATTCCACTGGGAAAAACAAACATCCTAGGAACATTGTTAACAATAGGGGAAAAACAAACATCCTAGGACCACAGACAATCTTGTTAAGGATGGTCCTGGTTTTCTTCAGGTGATAAAGATAAGGTGTGGAGATGCTCTCCCGGAAGACTAGGCTATAAAGATAAAGATGTAACAAATGGGGGATGTAAGAAATGGGGAAAGACAAACCTGTTAGATAAGGAATGTGAAGATCCCCCACTAAGTAGCAAATTAAGTGAGACAGCCAAGAACTGACCAATCACAAAGAGACTGGTGGAGCTTTAGAATAATCAGGGAAAGAAAGTATATATTCCCTGAGACACGACTCCACTTTGGCTTCCTTGCCCCTCCCAGGCCTGGTTCCCCTGGCCTGGGAGTCCCACTTTATTTCTGTTCCTTTTCTCCTCAATAAACTTTTTCTTTCTCTAAACAAACTGCCTCTTCTCGCTTGCTTGTCTGAGCGTCTGCGAAGTTCCTGCTGCGGCTTCGTGAGACACCAACCCGTGGGGGGTCTAGCGGCTGGGGCTCAGCACTGCCCTGCAGCCTGGAATCCATTCCTGCCTGGGAGACTAGGCCTGACAATTCCGGTATCAATATAGTGACATTCCGGTTTTCTTCAGCATGAACATGGAATATCTGTTTATTTAGATCTTCTTTGGTTTCATCCATCACCTTAAAACTTTGATGTTGTACATATTTTATCAGATTTGTACATGAGTTTTTTATTTTTCTTTGGTGCTATTGTAAATTTTGGATTTTTAATTTCAAATTCCATTGTTCATTGCTGTTATGTAAGAAAACCATTGATTATAGTATATTAACTTTGTCTCCTGCAAAGTTTGTTATAAACAGAGATTCTTTTTGTGCTGGGCTCATTGCATCCATTAAAAACATTTGGTAAGAGTGTGTTCCTATTATATTTATGTTTAATGGAAGTAATACAAAGGACAGATTGGAAAGGAGAGAGACTAGGGGCAGGGAGTCCATGCTGAAGGCTCTTGTGAATTTGCCTTGAGGCAAGGAATTCTGTATAAGGGCTTTGAAGTACCAGTGGAAAGGGAAGAACAGATTCTAGAGGCAGATATTCTAATTTGCTCTTCTCCTTCATGATTGTGGAGCACTCTTCCACACAGTTCCCTCCATGGGGTGTCTTTACCGTCTCCTTTACCTAACATCTAATTAATCCTGAAAATTCATCTCAGGTCTTGTACCCTCCAACAATTCTTCTCTCTACTCTCTCCTCACAGTGCCCTGTGGGTCCCTCCATTATAGCCAGACACGTTATTTATATTTATCATCTAATGTATTTGTCTACTTACCTGTCTCTTTCATTAGGTGATACAATCTTGAATCTCAGTTGCCCAGCATCTGGCCTAACAAGCATATGCATAAAAAAAAAATTCATTCAAGTCTGTCGTCAAAACTATAACATGACCAAGTATGTGGCAACTATTATATCAAATTTACATGGTATATTTTCTCCTAAAGAACTGAAATCACAGGGCTTCCCTGGTGGCGCAAGGGGTTAAGCACAGCACTATGCAGCTATCCACAGCCTCTGTAGCACAAGTTTTGTTATAGGACAGGGAGAGGGGCAGCCCAAACCCCGCAAACGTGCCTATTCTAAATGGGTTCGGCCATCCGCCGCATCAACACAAAACATATGAGACTTTAATGGGAAGGAACTTTAATAAAACTAGGAAACAATACAGGAAAGGCAAAGAGTCTAGTTTCTAAATGAAGCACCCAAAGTTACCCGTCCCCTCGTGGGTAAAAGTCCATCCATACGGGATCGGCCCAGAACAAGGCCCCAAAGCCTGCTACAAGTCTAAAGCATCTTCCAGTGGGGACCCACAGAAAAGGGTCACAAACAACCGGACAAGCCCGGAAGGAAAAGAGCAAAATCAACATCAAGATAAAAGCTGCCATTGTCACCTCCCCACAGGTCTCACCCACATCTGTGTCACCCAGTCCACGACCAAAAGACAAGCGCAGTTTCTTTACTTGTCTCTAGGCTCCATGCGCCTCCTCCAGGTCTCCTGGCTCCATCCTGCTTCCTTCCTCAGTCTCTTCTGCCGCTTCTCCTCTTCCTGCTCAGCTCCACCCTCCCTTGGGTGGGGCAGGGAACCTCCCCCTTTCCTGGGGACCACCCTGTTGCAGTTTGATCGCTGGCAGGCCAGAGAGCTACCTACATGGCACAGCAGACCTCTCCTGACTCGCCCATTGCTCCCCTCAGCAGTGTATTTCAGTCAGTCTGCCTGTTCTGTTCCCCACTCTGTCTCTGGTGAATCTTCTCACCACCACCACCTGTCCCCCATATCTTTCCTATACCCCAGCTCTTGTATGCATAAATAAACAAATCTTAAAAAAAAAAGAAAAAGAACTGAAATCACAGATCTTCCAAAACCGAAAGTTCAGATCAGGAAGGAAACAGTGCACTCCACATTAGGAAGTGATCAGTTCCTCAAAACTGTGGGTTTTGAGTCACATTGTTTCTCTAAGTAGGTTGTTCTTCCTGTGTAGACAGTGATATCAATACTCTTTTAAGCAGCAAGTTTGAAACTCTAAGAGTCTCTGCACACTTTGCATAAGAAGTTCTACTGCCAAGCCTTAGGTTTCTCTTTCCTGAGAGAAACTCCCCTCCCTCTAACCCAACACTCACACACATGCAGTCAGCTCCTGCCAGCCAAAGAGAACAGACCACAAAGCCGGAGCCTGGGACTAACTACTGCTTCTGTTCGGTGGGTGTCTGGCGAGGGAGGTAAGAGGAGCCCCCTCACACTGGAGAGAGCAGGGCAGCAGAGAGGCTGGGGAGGTCAGGCTCAAATCAGCATAGGGTAAACATTTCAGGAGGAAGGAGACAAGGTTTCTGGCATGGGGGCCACCAAACTGTGATTATAGGACAAAAAGAAGACTGAGGTCTGCCAATCAGAGGAAAGTTCTCCTTACTTCATAGTTCTCTTCATTGAGCTTGAGGTTCTTCCTAGAATTGTGACACTTAGTGAGACAGAGGTGTTTTCTTTTTAAAAAACAAACAAACAAACAAAAAAAACCCAGAAAAACTATGAATCCTAAAAGATAAAAATCTAAAAGTTATGAACGCTAATTTTCCTGTTACTGCTTCCATAACTACTGTTATCTTTCCTTTCCCTACACAGAAAACATGGCACTAGATCTTCTGAGATGCTTTCCTCTCTTCCTTTCCCTGCTGGGATTATGGGGGCCAGTGCGTCCACTTTGTGCTTGGCCTACCTATCTCACCAGGGCTCACTGGTTTGAAATTCAGCATATACAGCCAAGCCCTCTCCCATGCACCAAGGGAATGAGTGGTGTCAATAATTATACCCGGTATTGTAAGCCTGAAAACACTTTTCTGCACGACTCCTTCCAGAACGTGGCTGCCACATGTGAGTTGCCCAACATTACCTGCAAGAATGGTTGGAAAAACTGCCACCAGAGCCCAAAGCCTGTCAACATGACGCAGTGCAGCCTCACCGGGGGGAAGTATCCTAACTGCCGCTACAGAGAAGTTGCCCAACACAAATTCTTCATCATTGCCTGTAACCCTCCTCAGAAGAGCGACCCTCCCTATCAGTTGGTTCCTGTACACTTAGATAAGGTTGTTTGACTTTCCCTCACACTTGGCACACGTTCACTCTTCTGGTTTTTCTTTTCTTGGTTTCCTTGGTCCCCATAGAAGAAAGAAGATATTGGGGGTTATTGGAATGTTTACAATAGCCTAGAATTGGAACTAAAAGAAATAGGATTCTTTTCTGCTTTGAACTCTGTGTGCTGTGAAGGAAGACAATAGAGAAGAGGTTGGCGAAAAGCCAGGTCTCCATTTTTAACCTGGCAACTTCTGCCCAGCCTTGTCACATATTGTATTCACAGCAATAAAACTGTTCTCTGTTGCATTCCCGAGAGTGTGAGAATGTGTTTGAAATCCCTTTCACATCATTGTTGCTGGTTGGAAGCTATTTAGGCCTGCATTTGCTACCAATATTTCACAGAGAACTATTTTGGCTAGATTACCTTTGAGGTTATTTAGCTTCCCCCAGCTGTGCATCCAGTCTTTGGAACAATAAAGTCCTCCACCCCTTCAAATTCTGCTTACACACAGCCTTCCATACATACCCTGAAACCATTGCCTATGTTTATTTGGATAAGGCATTAATCTTTCTTACAGCATTAATAGTATTTTCACACACAGATTCTAATGTAGTGATTGAAGTATTCCTCATCCTTTCTGTTCATTTCTATATTTAATCAGATAAGGTTTGAAATGTAATGTATTCATAGTAGTAGAGAGAATAGTTCACCCTAACCTGGGAGTCAACTCCCCTATTATTTATTGGAATGCGAGAGAGTAAACATAGATTGAGAAATCTAAAAACATTCTTGTCTTACTTAATGATGAAATGTTGCAGAAATATTGGGGTTTTGGAACAGATATTTGATTTAGAAATTGAAGGAATGGGATTAAGAATTTGACTGGGATTGAGAATGTACAGTTTAGGTATAAAAGAGGGGGGGATTTTCCCTCTACTCTTTTAGGTTCTTGACTGAGACACCAGTTAAAAAAAAAAATTAACTGAAGGAAAAATTTCAGTATATATGGGAACTCCCCAAAAATATGAAACTCAAAAAGAAATCAAGCAGGTAGGTTTCTATATGTTCCTGAACTAAGAAAATGGAAGAGTCTGGGGCCTCAAATGAGAGGGATACAATTCACAGGACGATGAGAAGAGGAAATGTTTGGTAAACAAATGTTTGCTCTGTGATGCAGATAACTCTGTCAGATGGAAAAGTTCTCTGTGGTAATAGGTCTCTTCCTGTTACAGGCCCCCTTGTGGAGATTCTTTCATTTTTCCTCAAAATAGAATATATGCTCAACAATTGTTTTTATTCATTTTTTTATTATTATTTGTAAAATTTTGTTTTTTTTTACATCATTTTTCATTTTTGCACAATGTATGCATTTTCATCTTGGTTATAGTCCCTACAATTCTTTTAGGCAATTTAGGTGTAGAGAAAAGCTTTCCCTGAGTCCATTTTATTCTGATTGCCTTTAGTTTTACATGCCAAAGTGGCCTACTTGGGTGGCATAGTCTGCTACCTGCCAGTGGTCCCTTTTTGTCTCTGATGAAGGACAGAGCAGAATGAGGTAGCTTTGGGACTATTTGTTAAGTCCAAGATTTTATAAGGTGTCAGTTCTGAACAAGTGGACTAGACTAAGATTGAAATTCTCCTGGATTTGTTTTCTTTTCTACATTCTAATTACATATTGTGGGAGAGTGAAGGTAATTGGATAAATCAGAATTCAGATATATCCCTGTATCAGCTTAAATGATCTCACAGTCATCATAGACTGATACTAAAGTGGGCAAAGCTTTGAAGCAAATTCAGCAAATATTCCAGCAATTCTCATTTCATGTTACACTCATGTGGGATCTTTTAGAAAAATATCGATGACTGGATCCCTGTGCAACAATAGGAAATACATATTGGTATCTGTCCGGGGTTCCTAGCCAGAACTCCTGAAAACCTTATAAATTCCTAAGTGATAATAGCACTAGGAGTATTCATGTATGAATGAGGTGACTACGAGTGAGCTCCTGGGTGGGGGCTGTCACCAGAAAGACAAAACCATGATAGGACACTTGGAATTTTCACCCCACTCTGTGGGACCTGTACTCCCTATTATCCAGAGAGCAGAAAGGATTTAGAAATGGAGTTAATAATTGATTATGACTATGTAGGAAGCCTCCATAAAATTCCATACTCTTGGGATTCCAAGAGTATGGGATTTTATGTGAGTATGGGATTTTATGAGTTTCTGGTGGTAGACATTCTACATACTGGGAGGACATGCTCCCTAACTCCATGGGAGCTGTGCTCCAGAGACTCCCAGATCTTGCCCTAGGTATTGCTTCATCTAGCTGTTTATCTCTTTCCTTTACTGGACACTTTAATAAACTGGTAAAGGTAAGTAAGTGTTTCTCTGAATTCTATGAAACACTCTAGCAAATTAATCAAACCCAAAGAGAGGGTCATGGAAACCTTAGATTTATAGTCCATTGTTTAGAAACACAAATGACAACCTGGATTTGGAGCATACTTAGATTTATAGTCCATTGTTTAGAAGCACAAATGACAACCTAGATTTGGGAGGGACTTGTGAATCAGGGCAGGAGGCGTCCTGTGGGGCTGAGTCCTCAGCCAGTAGGGTCTGCTGGTATCTCCAGTAGATGGTGACAGGATTGATATAACTGCAGAATACCCAGATACCATCACAGAGAAAGTCTCCTGTGGGGAAACCCCTCACATAGCTGGTGTCACAAGTGTCATGAGCTTGGGAGTCATGTGAGAGTGAAGGGGAACATCATAGAGAGACTAATCTTTTTCCAACTCAATTCTCTCAAATGAATTTTAAGACAATTTGTTGAAATTTGTGTTTTAAAATCCCCATGTGATTGTAACGTGCAGCCTAGATTGGGTCAGTGGGACAAAACTACCCTGGTCCCCCAGGCCTGTGACCTGTCTGGTGCTCCCGGGAGCAGTGTGGGCTTCATGTGTTTAAGGGAAGAAGAGGAAGGAGGAGAGGTGAGGGATGAGTGTGGGCAGGAAGAACTGCCCCAAAAGGGACAGGTTTGCTGAGAGAGTTCTGCATGGTTGCGGGTGGGCAGCCCTGAGAGCTACCTCTGTTGAGGGAGGTCCGTGAAGAGAAGTCCCAGCATGAGACAGGTCATGGGCAGGCAGGAAGGCTGCTGCCCTGCAGAGGGAGAGAGTTGGTGAAAAGAAGCACCTGCACAGTTACAGGTGGGCAAGAAGACTGCTGCCCTGTTAGTTTTATCATCTTCAGGGATCCACCAGCACAGTGCCTGGAAGAAGTCCATATGGGCTCTCACCCTGTTTGTCTTCTTTGAGGCTTTCCCTGGTCTTCTCCCTCCCTCCCATTTTCACAAGAGAAACTTCAAGATCTATTATCTACAGAGTCATCTGGGGGATGAGGACTGGATCCAAGAGGGTTGGACGTGGTTAGAGGTACCCCAGTTCCTAGGAAGTAAAATGACAAATAAAACATGTGCCGACCAACAGTGTGCAAATAGAATGTGAGTACAGGTCCCACAGCAGCTGGCATTCTTATAGAACAAAAGACCATCCATGTGGCCTCGAGGATGGATAGCTAGTAAAGGCACCAGGCTACTCATTAACATTAAAGTAAATCCACAGGCAATGTTGTCAGTGTGTTCTTGGAAACTGACCTTAGCGGCAACAACATAGAACAAAACCAGATCCAAAATAATGTCATATAGTTCAAAGCAGCTGGAATTTCCCCTCATTCTTTTAAGGTCAGGACATTGAACAAAACAGCATTATCTTGGAAGCTGCTCTACTTACTGTCTAAGTCGTATACTTGAATTAGTTCCATCACAAACAAAAAGAAACACTCTAAAACTGCTTCTATTGATTTTTTCATGTTAATAACTAGCCTCCTCAAACTCTATAAAATTGAACAGAGCAAACACTACTTAAAGCATCTTCTGTGGCCAACATTACCTTGTTCCACAAACCAAAGAAAGACAGCATAAAAAAGAAAAGGATAGTCTAATACCTATGTTGAGCATAGTAGCATAAACTTGCAACAACAATTTTGCCAACTCAACACCAACAATATGTTAAGAGAATCAAATGTCATGACGAGTGGGTCTCATTCCAGGGATGCAAGGAGAACTCAGCATACACAAATCAGCTCATGTCATTCACCACATCAACCGAAGAAAGATAAGAAATCACAAAATCCTATCTATAGACACTGAAGATGTATTTGACAAGACTCTGACCCATTATGATTTGAAACATTCTCAATAAAATGGGTATAAAAGAAACCCGATTTAACATCTATGATGAACCCATAACTGACATCATGCTCTGCCGCAAGCCAGCTACAGCAGACTGGGTGTCAGGGGTTCCTGAAGGGTGGGAAGGCGTCAGCGCAATTGTAGAGAAATGATAAGGGAGGAGAATGAGGAGACACAAACACTTGGTCAGGGTGCAAGCATCGTCCTGCTGAGGGTTTCAGCAGTCCTTTATTTATACATTTCAAGCAAACTGTGAGTGCATAAGCATATGCATTAAGGTAGGAAGATAACAATCATCACATCTTTTTCAAGAGCAGCCAAGGGTCTGTTTGCCTTCTTGCAGAGGTTGTGACATTTATTATTCTTTGTCTTAAAGAAGGCACAGTTGCTAAACAAAAATGTTCTTAGAGTAGTTATTTACCTTAAACAACCAAACAGTCATTTTATTATTAGCAAAAAGCCTATGTGACAGTAACTAACATTTCTGTTTGCCATAGTGAAGGATTAACTAAGGGCAAGGGGAAACAAAGGGCAGGAAGCTACCTGGGGGAGGGGAAACAAAGGGATTATTTCTAACTAACCTATAAAGTTTAGACTAACTATAACCAAATGATTATGTTACAGGACAGGGAGAGGGGCATCCCAAACCCTGCAAACCTGCCTATTCTAAATGGGTTCTGCCATCTGCCGCATCAACACAAAACATGAGACTTTAATGGGAAGGAACTTTAATACAACTAGGAAACAATACAGAAAAGGCAAAGAATCTAGTTTCTAAATTAAGCACCCAAAGTTACCCGTCCCCTCGTGGGTAAAAGTCCACCTAAGCAGGATTGGCCCAGAGCAAGACCCCAAAACCTGCCACAAGTCTTAAGCATCTTCCAGTGGGGACCCACAGAAAAGCATTAGAAACAACCAGACAAGTCTGGAAGGAAAAGAGCAAAACCAAAATCAAGACAAAAACTGCCATTGTCACCTCCCCACGGGTCTTTCACCCACATCTGTGTCACCCAGTCCATGACCGAAAGGCAAGCACGGTTTCTTCATGTGTCTC